AGGGCTGTGCTGCGTGGTGGCGGACGCATGCGAGCGGTGCCACTGTGACCTTCGGTGGAGCTCCCTATGGGGCCACGAAACGCTGTACTGGGTGGGTGAAACGCAGGCAGGGAGCAAGGGCTGTGCAGGGTGGTGGCGGACGCATGCGGGCGGTGCCGCTGGGACCTTTGGTGGAGCTCCCTATAGGGCTACGAAGCGCTGTTCTGGGTGGGTGAAGCGCAAGGAACAAGGGCTGTGCTGGGTGGTGGCGGACGCAAGCGGGCAGTGCCACTGGGACCTTTGGTGGAGCCCCCTATGGGGCCACGAAACGTGTGAGGGGTGTGCCAGAATGGGGTGTGGAACCGCATGCCAGCGCAGCCACTGTGGCCTTCGGTGGAGCTCCCTATGGAGCCACGAAACGTGTGAGGGGTGTGCCGAAATGGGGGGTGGAACCGCATGCGAGCGCAGCCACTGCGGCGTTCGGTGGAGCTCCCTATGGGGCCACGAGACGTGTGAAGGGCGTGCCGAAAAAGGGGTGGAACCGCATGCGAGCGCAGCCACTGGGGCCTTCGGTGGAGCTCTCTATGGGGCCACGAACCGTGTGAGGGGTGTGCCGAAATGGGGGGGGGAACCACATGCGAGCGCAGCCACTGGGGCGTTCGGTGGAGCTCCCCATGGAGCCACCCACGAAGCGTGTAAGGGGTGTGCCGAAATGGGGGTGGAACCGCATGCGAGCGCAGCCACTGGAGCGTTCGGTGGAGCTCCTTAGGGGGCCACGAACCGTGTGAGGGGTGTGCCAGAATGGGGGGTGGAACCGCATGCGGGCGCAGCCACTGGGGCCTTCGATGGAGCTCCCTATGGGGCCACGAAACGTGTGAGGGGCGTGCCAGAATGGGGGGTGGAACCGCATGCGGGCGCAGCCACTGGGGCCTTCGGTGGAGCTCCCTATGGGGCCACGAAACGTGTGAGGGGTGTGCCAGAATGGGGGGTGGAACCGCATGCGGGCGCAGCCACTTGGGCCTTCGGTGGAGCTCCCTATGGGGCCACGAAACGTGTGAGGGGTGTGCCAGAATAGAGGGTGGAACCGCATGCGGGCGCAGCAGAAATCTGTGCGGTGAGCTCGCTATGGGGCCACGAAGCGTGTGAGGGGTGTGCCAGAATGGGGGGTGGAACCGCATGCGGGCGCAACCACTGGGGCCTTCGGTGGGCTCCCTATGGGGCCACGAAGCGTGTGAGGGGTGTGCCAGAATGGGGGGTGGAACCGCATGCGGGCGCAGCCACTGGGGCCTTCGGTGGAGCTCCCTATGGGGCCACGAATCGTGTGAGGGGTGTGCAAGAATGGGGGGTGGAACCGCATGCGGGCGCAGCCACTGGGGCCTTCGGTGGAGCTCCCTATGGGGCCACGAAACGTGTGAGGGGTGTGCCAGAATTGGGGGGTGGAACCGCATGCGGGCGCAGCCACTGGGGCCTTCGGTGGAGCTCCCTATGGGGCCACGAAACGTGTGAGAGGTGTGCCAGAATGGGGGGTGGAACCGCATGCGGGCGCAGCCACTGAGGCCTTCGGTGGAGCTCCCTATGGGGCCACGAACCGTGTGAGGGGTGTGCCAGAATGGGGGGTGGAACCGCATGCGGGCGCAGCCACTGGGGCCTTCGGTGGAGCTCCCTATGGGGCCACGAAACGTGTGAGGCGTGTGCCAGAATGGGGGGGTGGAACCGCATGCGGGCGCAGCCACTGGGGCCTTCGGTGGAGCTCCCTATGGGGCCACGAAACGTGTGAGGGGTGTGCCAGAATGGGGGGTGGAACCGCATGCGGGCGCAGCCACTGGGCCTTCGGTGGAGCTCCCTATGGGGCCACGAAACGTGTGAGGGGTGTGCCAGAATGGGTGTGGGAGGGGGAGGAGGGGGGAGGAAGGGGAGGAGGAGGAAGGAGGAGGAAGGAGGAACGCGGGGCGACGTCTCTTCAAAACGAGAACCCAACACCACAGGATGGTTAGGAAAAATCGTGACGTCGGATGTCTGGGGAGGGCGGAAGGCAGTGCGCGCATGACGGATGCTGAGGCGGCAGAAACGACGACGGCGGGGACGGGGAGGCGGAGGCAGAGGCGCAGCAGCGGGAGGCGGGAGGCGGGAGGAGGAAGGAGGGAAGAGGAACCAGGCGGGAAGTGGGAAGAGGGAGGCGGGAGAAGGAATGAGAGAGGTTGTGATTGGAGCTCCTGTGCTACGAAACGTCTCAGGCAGAATGGGCCAGACCATCTCGCGCGCAACATCTTCGAGCCTCGCATTGCGAAGATGGCTCAATCGAAACGGGCCGGACCACCTCGCGAGCGACATCTTGGAGCTCAGTATTGGAAGGATGTCTCAAACGAAACGGGCCGGACAATCTTTCGTACACGTTTTGACAAGTCCACATCGCACTCGCTTCCCGTTAGGTCCTCTCCTGCAACTCCCTTCCTTCTCCCTCCTGCTCCTCCTCCTCCTCCCCCTCCTCCTGCCTGCTCCCTCATGCACGTCATCCGCCTCCTCCTTCTCCCTTCCATCTCCTTCTCCTTCTCCTTCTCCTTCTCCTCCTCCTCCTCCTCCTCCTCCTCCTCCTCCTCCTCCTCCTCGACCTCCTCTTCATCCCGAACGGCATCTCGGAGCCTAGAGTTGCGAGGATGTCTCCAGCGTAACGGGCTGGACCACCTCGCGCGCGGCATCTCGGACCCCAGAGTTGCGACGATTTCTCTGGCAAACGTGCTGCGAGGAAGTCTCAGGCGAAACGGGCCAGACCACCTCGAGCGCGGCGTCTCAGAGCTCCGAGTTGCGAGGGCCTCCTGGTGCCTCCTGGAGCCTCCTGGGGACCTCCTGGGGCTTCCTCCTGGGCCTCCTGTGGCCTCCTGAACTCCACCTGGGGCTTCCTGAAGCCTCTTGGGGCTCCCAGGGGGGATATCAAACCTGTGGCCGTTTGGGCCTCTCCAAATGGATGGGGGGGGCAGAAGAGCAGGAAGAATCAACGAATCGACACCGGATGTATATCAACTTGACACGTTCTGATAGGCGGCCTCCTGGAGCCTCCTGGGAGCCTCCTAGGAATCTCCTGGGGACCCCTGGGGCCTGTCCTAGGCGTCCTGCGGCCTCCTGGAGCTCTCTGGGGCCTCCCCCTCCTCCTGCCTGCTCCCTCATGCACATCATCCGCCTCCTCCTTCTCCCTTCCATCTCCTCCTCCTCCTCCTCCTCCTCCTCCTCGACCTCCTCTTCATCCCGAACGGCATCTCGGAGCCTAGAGTTGCGAGGATGTCTCCAGCGTAACGGGCTGGACCACCTCGCGCGCGGCATCTCGGACCCCAGAGTTGCGACGATTTCTCGGGCAAACGTGCTGCGAGGAAATCTCAGGCGAAACGGGCCGGACCACCTCGAGCGCGGCGTCTCAGAGCTCCGAGTTGCGGAGGCCTCCTGGTGCCTCCTGGGGCCTCCTGGGGACCTCCTGGGGCTTCCTCCTGGGCCTCCTGTGGCCTCCTGAACTCCACCTGGGGCTTCCTGAAGCCTCTTGGGGCTCCCAGGGGGGATATCAAACCTGTGGCCGTTTGGGCCTCTCCAAATGGATGGGGGGGCAGAAGAGCAGGAAGAGTCAACGAATCGACACCGGATGTATATTAACTTGACACGTTCTGATAGGCGGCCTCCTGGGGCCTCATGGGAGTCACCTAGGAATCTCCTGGGGACTCCTGGGGCCTGTCCTGGGCGTCCTGCGGCCTCCTGGAGCTCTCTGGGGCGTCCCCCTCCTCCTGCCTGCTCCCTCATGCACATCATCCGCCTCCTCCTTCTCCCTTCCATCTCCTCCTCCTCCTCCTCCTCCTCCTCCTCCTCCTCCACCTCCTCTTCACCCCGAACGGCATCTCGGAGCCTAGACTTGCGAGGATGTCTCCAGCGTAACGGGCTGGACCACCTCGCGCGCGGCATCTCGGACCCCAGAGTTGCGACGATGTCTCGGGCGAAACGTGGTGCGAGGAAGTCTTAGGCGAAACGGGCCGGACCACCTCGACGGCGGCGTCTCAGAGATCCGAGTTGCGGGGGCCTCCTGGTGCCTCCTGGGGCCTCCTGGGGACCTCCTGGAGCTTCCTCCTGGGCTTCCTGTGGCCTCGTGAACTCCACCTGGGGTTTCCTGAAGCCTCTTGGGGCTCCCAGGGGGGATATCTAACCTGTGGCCGTTTGGGCCTCTCCAAATGGAGGGGGGGGCACAAGAGCAGGAAAAATCAACGAATCTACATCGGATGTGCATTGACTTGACACGTTCTGATAGGCGGCCTCCCGGGGCCTCCTGGGAGCCTCCTGGGAATCTCCTGGAGACCCCTGGGGCCTGTCCTGGGCGTCCTGCGGCCTCCTGGTGCCTCCTGGGGCCTCCTGGGGACCTCCTGGAGCTTCCTCCTGGGCCTCCTGTGGCCTCCTGAACTCCACCTGGGGTTTCCTGAAGCCTCTTGGTGCTCCCAGGGGGGATATCAAACCTGTGGCCGCTTTGGCCCCTCAAAATGGATGGGGGGGGGCACAAGTGCAGGAAAAATCAACGAATCGACACCGGATGTGTATTAACTTGACACGTTCTGAGAGGCGGTCTCCTGGGGCCTCCTGGGAGCCTCCTGAGAATCTCCTGGAGACCCCTGGGGCCTGTCCTGGGCGTCCTGCGGCCTCCTGGAGCTCTCTGAGGCCTCCTGAGGCTCGCAGGGTCCCATGGAGGATATGTAACATGTGGTCTTCTGGGCCCCCAGGCTGGACCACCTCTTGCGCAGCATCTGAGAGCTCAGAGTTGCGAGAATGTCTTGTGCGAAACAAGCCGGACCACCTTGCGCACGGCATCTCAGAGCTCCGAGTTGCAAGGATGTCTCAGGCGAGACGGCGACCACCCATCGCAGCGCAATGGCATCTCAGAGCTTAGAAGTTCGAGGATGTCTCAGGCGAAACGGGCCGGACCACCTCTCGCGCGGCATCTCCGAAGTCAGAGTTTCGAGGATGTCTCAGGCGAAACGGGCCGGACCACCTCGCGCAAGGCGTCGCAGAGCTCAGAATTTCGAGGATGAGATTAGCCTGATGATACAGGCTGAGATTTGGCATACACTGTGACCAGCTCATGCTGTACTAGAGTATAGCGCAGTGAATCGAGGGGCTATCGTTGTACCCTTTGCTCCAACGTAGTGCGAGGGATAGCTGCGCGGCGCGTCAGGGAGCGAGGAGGAGGGAGGGAGATTATAGGAAGGCCTCAACCTCCGCGTCGTGCTAAATACGGTGATCCGACTCGTGCTCATCGATCTCCGCGTCCTGCTCCGACAAATTGGCCTCAACCTCCGCGTTGTGAATGCCGCGCTCGGGTGTTGGGCCCCTGCCACGGCCAGGACATCCGCGCCTCATCAGGCAGCCCGGCGCGACGCCTCTGACCAAGAACAAGATCAAAACACAAGCGAAGACTGCAATGAATCCCCATGGCTCGGTGGTGGCTGTGTTTGACGTGGCCGAACTCGTGCCCGTATCGGTGGTCGTCGTGGCCGTCTTGGTGGTCGTCGCGGTGGTCGTCTCAGTTGTTGTCTCAATTGTTGTCTCGGTGGTTGTCTTGATGGTGGTAGTAGTGCTTGACGTCGCGGAACTCGTGGCCGTATCAGTGGTCGTCATGGCCGTCTTGGTGGTCGTCGCGGTGGTCGTCTCAGTTGTTGTCTCAGTTGTTCTCTCGGTGGTTGTCTTGATGGTGGTAGTAGTGCTTGACGTCGCGGAGCTCGTGGCCGTCTCGGTGGTGACGATGGTGCCGTCGAACACGTACGCGGAGCCAGACTGGGCCCCCACAACCACGCGGGCCCCGTCGGAGCTCACGGCCACCGAGTAACCGAAGAAGTCGAAGGCGGCCCCATCACTCGCCACAAGCTTGAGCAGCCTCTCGCCGGTGGTGCCGTCGAACACGTACGCGGAGCCAGACGTAGTGCCCTGATCGTCGTCGTCACCGTAGGCCACCACCACCACGCGGGCCCCGTCGGAGCTCACGGCCACAGAGTAAACGAAGAAGTCGAAGGCGGCCCCATCACTCGCCACAAGCTTGAGCAACCTTTCGCCGGTGGTACCGTCGAGCACGTACGCGGAGCCGGAGGGAGCTGTCGTCGTCACCGTAGGCCCCCACCACCACGCGGGCCCCGTCGGAGCTCACGGCCACCAAGTAACCGACGAAAACGAAGGCGGCCCCATCACTCGCCACAAGCTTGAGCAGCCTCTCGCCAATGGTGCCGTCGAACACGTACGCGGAGCCCGCTGCTGAAAATGCCGTACCCTGGTTGTCATAGTAGTTGGAGGCCCCCACCACCACGAGGAGAGTTGAGAGGAACGAGAGACGCCCAAGGTGAGCCCTGGGAGGCCGGCGACGCCCCTCGGAACCTTGAGCCAAAATTGCTTGAGCCAAAATGGCTACGGAGGGTGTGCTACCTCCCTTCTTGGAACGATAGGGGGGGACTGGCACAGGGGCAGGAGAACCCAGAATCGAATCGATATGTCGGCTCGGCGATCGAAATGATTCGGATCGGCGGAAATCGGCAGCCGAGTCGGGAGAAGTCGAATCGGCGGAAATCGGCAGGCTTGCAGGCCTCCAATGAGAAATCGGAATCAAATCGGAATCCGAAGTCGAATCGGAATCGGAAGCCACCGAAATCGATTCGAATCGAATCGGAGGAATCGAAATGACCCCTGCCCTCAGGGGGCAAGGGGGGGAGCATCGACCTGGAAACGGCGAGACCTCGCCGATAGATCGGCGACAGGACCCCGATGGCAGATCCCCACGCTCCGAGGAGGAGGAGAATGAGGCGGAGGAGGAGGAGGAGGCGGAGGAGGAGGATCAGGAGGAGGAGCAGGAGGAGGAAGACGAGGAGGAGGACGAGGAGGAGGAGGAGGGTCTCCCCCTATGCACATCCCCTCCGGGCGTTGCCCCCGAGGGGGGCACCCGCTCACCCCAGAGCCACTGTTGGTGGGCCGAGGGCCTGGGCAGGGCGGCCCACGAACGCCGAGACAGGGTCGAGGAGAAGCGCTGGGATCGAGCCACAGAACAGGGCTCGACCTGAACGGTCCACGAGAAACCTTCCACACGGAACCCAACCCTGAGACCCCAGGACGCTCATTGATGTGTGGTGTGGGAACGTCACGCCTTCCACAGCAAAACCATCGCAGCCCAAGAAACCTAGGGCACCCTAGCGGCGAGCAGGGTGTTTCTTTGTATGGGCAACCGCTGTAAGCGGACGCCACTCATCAAACGCACAGGAAGCCTGTGGCTGCGTTGGTTGAGAAGGAATGGATCCCCTTCGTAGTCGTAGCCAATTAGAAGTAGTCGTAGTCGAAGTCCTAGTCTTATGTTGCTCCCATGGTACTTGCCCCATCCCAGAAAAAAAACTTCGAGCACCCAGAGAAGTATCGAAACACTGTCGAACGAGTATCGCCTGCCAAGACCCCAGAGCCGACACGGCTAAAGCAGGTTTGAATACCATACCCCTAGTCGTCAGCATCGTCGTCTTCGCCGTCCTGCTACAACTCCCTGAACACGGCAAATTGTTGGGTCCGAAGCGTCAAGAATGTTCATATCATCCGTTTGATCAACAGCCTCTGAGATGGTCTCGCGAAGGTCCCCACAAGACCCCCCAGAGGGCCACGAATCTTCCAAAATTGCAACTAGACGGCCCCATAATGCTCCAAATGAACTTGAAGAGTGAAACATCCGCAAAAACCTTCAAGTACGCCGGGCTCATGCCGATGTCGTCGTCGCCGTCGCTGTACTTCTCTCCCTCCCAACCATCCTCTTCATCCCACCTCTTCCTTCCACTCCTTCCGATTCCCACCTCCAATTCATCAAGCATTGAATGGGAACGTGTTCCGTCGAAACTCTCTTCTTTCTGCCCTCCTCTCCTCATCATCCTTCTCGTACCTCATTCCTCCTCCTTCTACTCCCATCCCCATCATCATCCGCCCGACTCGTCTTCTGCCCTCCTTCTCCTCCTCTTCGTCATTTTCCTTCTCCTCCTAAACGTTCGAAAGAGCCGGAAATGCATACGTTTATGCTGCATTCTTAGATCTGTCCAAGCCGATCCCAAGATTCGGTTCGACGGCTTCCCCAATCGTTCCCCTGCGCGCTCCTACACGTCCCTGGTCAAGGCAACTCGCCTGGGCATCGCCTCTGAATGGGCTTGCGGGGATATGCAAAACGTCAACAGTTCCACGCCTGCCTCACACGCCTTCAATTTCAATCTTGAGTCCGCCGACGACGCACTGGAATTACTATTCTCCCGTGTATCGAGACTTGACCAGGTCATGGTGCCCATGTCGTTGTGGGTGGCACTCCCCTTATGGTCATTTTCTCGTCCAAACTGACCTCGTCATCGTCGTCAGACTCCTCCCCCTCTTGCTTGCAACTCGACCGACCGTCCTCCCGGACACGCACTGGCAGACCACAACTCTGGATCTGGCCGTGGTCTGCCACGATGCCACGACGCGGTCTGCCACCCCCTCCCGACCAGCCATAACTTGGGGGAGCTGTGGTCCTTACCCCCCTGGGGGAACCCATCGCGTCGACGATCTCTCGAGAGGGGTGTCGGAATCGATGGGTCCCCCAGGGGGGTAAGGACCACAGCTCCCCCAGTTGTGGCTGGCCTGCCTTCTGGATCCAGAACGCGGCCCGTGGGTTCCAACTCCGATTGAACGTGTGGCTCGCCGTGCCTGCGGTGCTAAAAAATGCTAAAAAGACAGAAGGGGTCTTCGCATCCGAACCTGGAGGAGGAGGAGGAGGAGGAGGAGGAGGAGGAGGAGGAGGAGGAGGAGGAGGAGGAGGAGGAGGAGAAGGAGGAGGGGAGAGGAGGGGCGAAGAGGAGAGGAGTGAGGAGGAGGAGGAGCGAGGAGGAGAGGAGCCGAGGAGGGGAGGAGCGAGGAGGCCTGAGGGGGAGGGAGGGGAGAGTTGGAGGGCAAAGCTAGGTGCGCTCGCGTCATATCTGACATCCTACCCCTCCCTCCCATCCCTTACCATGGCGCAGATCCCTTCTCTACTCGCTCAGTCGGATGTCGAGCAGGGCAATGATCCCGAAAGGGTACGCGATGCATTGTAGAGCACGGCATGGCATGGCGGAGAAGAGCACCGCAAAGCGTAGCATCAACCTAGCATTGCATTGCATGCCGTGGCATGGCACGGGAAATGACGCCAGCGCTGCAGCGGGAGCACGAGTCGAAACGAGCGGAAGCGCGGAAATGAGGCCAGCGCTGCAGCGGGAGCACGATTCGGCACCGGCGGGGGCCCGAAAATAAGGCCGGGCTCTCGCGAGAGACAGCATTTTGAAAATTCCTGAAGAAAGACCCAAACATAGTAGTTGTGAAATTACCGCAATGTGGATTATTCTTCGGTGGGCCCCCGTGCCACGAAACGTGTGAGGGGTGTGCCAGAATGAGGGGGTGGAACCGCATGCGGGCGCAGCCACTGGGGCCTTCGGTGGAGCTCCCTATGGGGCCACGAAACGTGTGAGGGGTGTGCCAGAATGGGGGGTGGAACCGCATGCGGGCGCAGCCATGGGGCGCTTGGTGGAGCTTCCTATGGGGCACGAAACGTGTGAGGGTTATGCCAGAATGGAGCGGTTCACAAATGAACCCAGCCACTGGGCTAGGGGCCTTCGGTGGAGCTCCCTATGGGGCCACGAAACGTGTGAGGGTTATGCCAGAATGGGGGGTGGAACCGCATGCGGGCGCAGCCACTGGGGCCTTCGGTGGAGCTCCCTATGGGGCCACGAAACGTGTGAGGGGTGTGCCAGAATGGGGGGTGGAACCGCATGCGGGCGCAGCCACTGGGGCCTTCGGTGGAGCTCCTTATGGGGCCACGAAACGTGTGAGGGGTGTGCCAGAATGGGGGGGTGGAACCGCATGCGGGCGCAGCCACTGGGGCCTTCGGTGGAGCTCCCTATGGGGCCACGAAACGTGTGAGGGGTGTGCCAGAATGGGGGGTGGAACCGCATGCGGGCGCAGCCACTGGGGCCTTCGGTGGAGCTCCCTATGGGGCCACGAAGCGTGTGATGGGTGTGCCAGAATGGGGGGTGGAACCGCGCGCGGGCGCAGCCACAGGGGCCTTCGGTGGAGCTCCCTATGGGGTCACGAAACGTGTGAGGGGTGTGCCAGAATGGGGGGTGGAACCGCATGCGAGCGCAGCCACTGGGGCCTTCGGTGGAGCTCCCTATGGGGCCACGAAACGTGTGAGGGGTGTGCCAGAATGGGGGGTGGAACCGCATGCGGGCGCAGCCACTGGGGCCTTCGGTGGAGCTCCCTCTTGGGCCACGAAACGTGTGAGGGGTGTGCCAGAAGGGGGGTGGAACCGCATGCGGGCGCAGCCACGGGGCTTGGTGGAGCTCCCAAGGGGGCACGAACGTGAGAGGGGAGTTGTGCCAGATTATGGTGTGGAGGGGCGAGGAGGGCGGAGGAAGGGGAGGAGAACCGCGTGGCGACTTCTCTTCCCAAACCGAGAACCCAAACACCTCAGGATGGTTGGGAACACAACCGTGACGTCGGATGTTCTGGGGTGGGCGGAAGGCATGTGCGCGCATGTGGATTGCTAGGCGGCAGAAGAATCGACGACGGCGGGGGACGGGTGAGGCGGAGGCAGAGAGAGGCGCAGAGCAGCGGGAGGCGGGAGGCGGGAGGAGGGAGGAGGGAAGAGGAGCCAGGCGGGAAGTGGGAAGAGGGAGGCGGGAGAAGGAATGAGAGAGGTTGTGATTGGAGCCCCTGTGCTACGAAACGTCTCAGGCAGAACGGCCCAGACCATCTCGCGCGCAACATCTTCGAGCCTCGCATTGCGAAGATGGCTCAATCGAAACGGGCCGGACCACCTCGCGAGCGACATCTTGGAGCTCAGTATTGGAAGGATGTCTCAAACGAAACGGGCCGGACAATCTCTCGCACCAGTTTTGAACAAGTCCATCGACTCTTCCCGTTTAGGTCCTTCTCCTGCACTCCCGTTCTTGTCCCGCCTCCTCCTCCTCCTCTCCTCCTCCTCCTCCTCCCCCTCCTCCTGTGCTCCTGTGCACATCATCCACCTCTCTTCTTCTCCTTCATCGCCTTCTTCCCTTCCTCCTCCTCTCCTTCATCCCTCCTCCTCATCTCTCCTGTCCTCTCCTCCTCCTCATTCCCCCTCTCCTTCTATCATCCTCCTCCTCCTCCTCCTCCTCCTCGACCTCCTCTTCATCCCGAACGGCATCTCGGATCCTAGAGTTGCGAGGATGTCTCCAGCGTAACGGGCTGGACCACCTCGCGCGCGGCATCTCGGACCCCAGAGTTGCGACGATGTCTCGGGCGAAACGTGCTGCGAAGAAGTCTCAGGCGAAACGGGCCGGACCACCTCGAGCGCGGCGTCTCAGAGCTCCGAGTTGCGGGGGCCTCCTGGTGCCTCCTGGGGCCTCCTGGGGACCTCCTGGGGCTTCCTCCTGGGCCTCCTGTGGCCTCCTGAACTCCACCTGGGGTTTCCTGAAGCCTCTTGGGGCTCCCAGGGTGGATATCAAACCCGTGGCCAGTTGGGCCTCTCCAAATGGAAGGGGGGGCACAAGAGCAGGAAGAATCAACGAATCGACACCAGATGTGTATTAACTTGACACGTTCTGATAGGCGACCTCCTGGGGCCTCCTGGGAGCCTCCTAGGAATCTCCTGGGGACCCCTGGGGCCTGTCCTGGGCGTCCTGCGGCCTCCTGGAGCTCTCTGGGGCCTCCCCCTCCTCCTACCTGCTCCCT